CGTCATGGACCTCTTCGACTTGGCCTTGCAGACAGAAGGCCATCGAGAGGCCAGGCCATAGAAACGGTGGGTTTTGGAGGTTTAGGGTTTGGCGTTTCGGGGTGTTTGCAGGTTTAGGGTTCAGTTTAGAGGGGTTAGAGTCGCGGAGGAGTGCCCAAAAGAGGGGCAGAGTTTCGAAGAACTTGCCAGTCTCTGGCCTCAGGTCCTTGAGAAGTTCATCAACGGTGATGGCAATGATAGATTCCAGAAGGCCAGAGCGGGCTCGCGAGGGGTGTAGCAAAGACCTTCTGCCACGACCTCTACCGTTGGGTTTCCGTATTATCATCATAGTATAATGGGCCCCAAAAACCTTATTCTAATTATTAAGGCCACTATATTGTAGTAGCCCTTACAGCAGCCCTTATAGTATCTCTTATAGGCCCTTTTAAAGAACCCTTATTCTATTTATAATAGATCCTAAGCCCTAAGCCCCAAAACCCTAAACCTTAAACCCAAAACCACAATGTGGATTCCGCCGACCTTAACTGCTAGGAGGAAAAAGGCGTTCAAACAAAAATCCCAAAGCCATCAACACCCTAATTCTAATCATCTGCTCAGTTGCTGACGCAACTCATCAATGACAGCAACTCTCAGATCGAAGAGGCCATCAAAACTGTGCAGGACAGGGGCTCCCGCTGCCTCCGGAGATGGCGCATCATGTTCCTTATTAACATTACTACTACTATTTTTTTTTACCTCTGTTATTTCTATCTTCACTATCACAATATTAATACTGTTATTATTGTAATTATTACTACCCGTATTAGTACTTGTATTATGACTGCCCCTACGATGTTATTTTTATTACTATTGCTATTGCTACTACGATTACTATTACTAGCATTATTATTGTTGTTATTACAAATGTTACTATCATTACTATTATTACCAGTACTATTCTACTATATTGTTATTATGATTATTTTCCTTCTTCTCATCATTACTTTTTAGTATTATTACTGTTATGACTATTATTACTATTATCACTATTATTGCTATGGTTACTATTATCACTATTATTACTATTATTACTATTATTACTACATTATGATTATTACCGTTACTACTATCAACATTTGATTAATGGTTTGTCCTGTTGTAGCTTTAACTCTTAGTGTCGTTTTTCTTGTCGTCATTGCTGCTCGACCTCATCGTCGCCTTCGCCCCTCTAGCGTATAGGTTTAAGCATGATTCATATGATGACTGCGATGATGGTGATGACGCTCCTGGTTATCATTATGATCCACGTACAGCCAGACCCAGAATACGAATTATGTTGTGGTGACGATTCTTGCTACAGTGGAGGCTGTGATTGTGGGGGTGGTGACAATCAGGATCAATGACGTTTGCATTCCCAGTACTCTGCCAATCTTTGTGCTCAATTTTGATTTTCATGGGTGCAAACGGGGCAATATCAACATCTATAACCCATGCCGACAACAGTACGACAAACAACCGACACATGTAATACTAGGGTTTCTGCATGTTCTCAGGATTTCCATGCGAAGCAGAGCGAGACTGCGGCGTCCAGTTCCGTCCGCTCCCCGTGCATTTGCATTTCTCTCATGCGCGAGAGATCCGGGAACACACCCCAGGGTTGCAGATGCCTCTTCACTGTGGCAGTAGAGCACCAAGTCAGGCTTCTCAGCGGCACGACGAGCAGGCCGGCAGCAAGCCCGTATCAGATATCATAGGTCCATACGCCTCTTTCAGCGCAGGCTCTGTTTTCCTTCAGGATCATGCTCCCGAGCTTTAGTCCCGCGGATCTCAAGCTTTGGAGGTCCTGGAGGACGACCGCACTGGTGACGGTGATGAGGCGGAAGACATCTATCGGCGAAGCCGGATGAACTACAAGGCCCCTGGTAGACTTAGCATCAGAAGCTTCATCCTTTGTGACAGTGTGACAGACAAGCCTCCAGGAGCATGCCAAAAAGTACTTTGGCTTGGCTTCGAAGCAACCTGTCGGAGAAATTAGGGTATTAGGCATACTCTGCCTCTCTCTCTCTGAGACTCTCTGCCACTCTCTCCCTCACTCTGCACTATCTCTTGCTCTGGCTCTCGCTCTCGCTCTTGCTCTCTGACGGGCGGAGATAGATAGATAGCTTTACAGATTGAGAGGGAGAGGGCGACAGAGAAGGAGAATGCAACTGCAGCCACACTTGCATGCATGCATTTCATGTTTATGACAATCACATAGTATATCCTAAACCCTAAACCCCGCTAGACCCCGCTTTTCAGGACCTGGAAGCAGATGTGGCTGCTCTGCAAGCTCTGCGCGCCGACCATCGTCGCCGGCTCCGTTGGGCTCGAGCAGCTTCTGCACTCCTCGCTCGATGCGTGCCACTTCTGCAGAACATCAATGTGTAATGTATAATATACACTGAAAAAGGTATACTAGGAAGCATGTACAAAATATAATACATAATGCATAATACGTCAGACAGTTTGTCGCTATTTTGAGCCCTACATCGCAGTTCCGTTCGAGCCTCCGAGCTTTGCTTCAAGAGACTCGCACTCGGCTCGTCCAAGGCAGCTTCACTACTTGGTAGGCACGAGCTGCTTGACTGTCTGGTTCTTAGTAGGGAATGGGGGAATAGATTTTGGAGACTATTATCGGGGCTTACAGGGACTACTATAGGGATCCATTCCCCCATTCTCTACTAAGCACCAGACACTTGAAGTCTTGAAGCATTGGCACCCGCTACATGAAGCGCAGCATGTGGGTTCCAGGCCCCGACATGAAGAAGATCAAGGCTTCACCTCAGGAATACGATGAGCTTGGTTTCAATCCCAAGGCCACGCTTTCGGAGTGGTTCCGCGATTCAGTTTCGTGAGCTTGGCTGCCGAGAGGAGCTCATCAAGCAGATTGTGGAGATGTATTTGTTCCTTGCGAAAGCGAACAAAGCAGAGGCAAGACCATGGCAGCGGTTTCTGGGGTCTCGATAACCGTGCCTGAGATGCTCCGGTGCCCAGGTGGTGCGCGTGGTCGGCAAAGATGAGCGATACTACAGCGACTCCCCTGCACGGTGCCACTCGGGTGACTTCCTTGCGAGTCTACGCCCATCTCCAGGCAGCAACACCTTCAGCAAGGCCACGAACTTCGTCAGGACACTCGCCGTGTCCGCACTTTCTCCGCAAGTTGTCCGCTCTATTTCCACAACGCATCCGCAAGTGGTCCACACCGTGTCGGCAAGATTCCCACACCATGTCCGCAAGGTATCCACACCGCGTCCGCAAGACCTGCGCAGCATGTCCGCGAGCTTCCCCACCCTGTCCGCAGGTTCTCCACACGATGTCATACGATGTCCACACAGTATCCGAAATTGTCCACACCATGTTCGCGAGCTGGGTTGGGAGCGTTGCTTGAAGTAGCTGGTCTCGAGGGTTCGGCTTTGCGTTTCCGGTTTTAAGAGATCAGGCTTTTGTTCAGTGGAGATTCGGGTCCTTTGAAAGGGGCATTGCGGCATCGGATTTGTGATACGATAAGTGGGGACTTTCGATGTGGACACCTGGGCCCGTTGATGTGCACAACTGGCCTTGTCACTAGGTTGTTTTGACAAGTAAGCTGTTGAACTGTTGTGATGTAGACGTTTTCATGCGGACAATTGGGCCCTTCGATGCTAACATCCGGGGCCTTTTCATGTGGACAACCGGGCCTTTTGATGCGTTTGAATGAGGACAACGTGGCCTTTGATCCACGCGAAACAAGCGGGGGAGCGAACCCTTTCTAAGCTTTACAGAAGCATCTATCACTCCATTCATTGCCCACTGCCGGTTTCAAAAGGGGTGATCGGTGATCCGGGTGCGCAAAGGTGGACAGTCCTGATACCAGATACCTCACTCCTCAACCCCGGGCGGCTCTGCACAGAGAGACCCCAGCCGTGAGCGGAGTTGCGAGCGCAGGAAGTATGGTCTGCTGTCGAGCGGCGACCTCGAGGCGTTCACGGACTTCTGCAAGGACCCGGGATGGTACTCCAATGAGCGGAGCGGAGCTGTCTGAGGTGGGAAGTGTCCCCAGTCCTGTTGGCTTTGTGCAGTTCCAGGAGCTCGCAGAGAAGGTGTCGCAACACCGAGCGGCCTTCGATGAGGCCCGCTGTCACCCTAAATCTGGTAGTGCGTCAGTGCGAGTGTCCGACAGGCAGAGATCCCGCAAGAGTATCTCTGTGAGATCATGGCAGATATCATGTCGGACCCGGTGATGTTCCCGCAAAGCAGAAAGGCCATGCAATGCCGTGCCGCATGACGCTCGGAGTGCTGGGCGGTTCTGTTTCGCGAGCCGTCAGGTTGCGGACAGAACCGCAGCCCTTCGGGTCATCATGGGCATGACGCTTAGACCGGAGCATCTAAAGATCAGAGCCGCGTTGCGCATTGAACCTTGCAAGGTGCGGACAGGGATCCTTTTGCCAACACGCCCCTCAAGGTGGAGGACACAGAGACCCAGGGAAAAAAGGTCCCATTCACTCTCATGCAAGACACCCTGCAAAATCCCACAAACCCCTGATGTAAGCCCCACAGAACCCCTTCAGTAGACTTTCTGAAGGAGCTGGTCCCCCAGACCGAGCTGAAAGAGCAGATCCACAGATTTGCCAAGGACAAGGCTCATATTGCAGTTTGACCGAGCTGATGTCCTTCCCACAGCTTTCGGGAGCCGTTGTGCTGTGCTTTGCAGGGCATCGCGCTGGAAGGCGGCAACATGTTCGACTGACAGGATAGCCTCTTGCAGGTCTAGGCCGGGGCTGCGCCGCAGCGGGAAAAGACGTGACGTCGAGTACCGCTTGTACACAGGGTTGAGGAAGTGCGAGGTGAGAGCTTGCCCATGGCGCTCCTCTCCGCGTCCCTGTCAGTCTGAAGTGAATTGCTGTCGGCTCCCGGGACCAAAATTCGAAGACATGCGCCTCTTCATTGGGGGAGAAGCCTCTTTGTCTTTGATGCCTAATGCCACTGTGATGAGCCATTGTCAGGGGCATCATCATTGTTCCGCTGGACGAGAGGCAGAACACAAAGGCGCCTCTTGAGTCAGAGGTTCCAGACTATTTCTCGCCTCTCGGGTCTCATTGCCACTGCTTTGAAGGGAAGTCTTGGTAGTAGTACCCGAAGGTCAACATGCCTCTCAACGAATCGCGCCTCACTGCAGCTGGGCGCTCAAGACTACACTCCTTCGCCTTGTACTTCTGTCCTGTTACGCACGAGGCAGTGGAGCTTTCGCTCGACCAAGAGAGAGGACCGAAGATCCCATGGAGACCGATACCCGAACACTCCTTCACCAAGTCTCCACAAGCATCAAAAACCTGTAACCAGGGTCACCAAGTGCGAGTCCTAAACTCCATTAAACTCTCCATCTCCGATGAAACTGAAGCCTAGTTGAAGAGTTTTTCCAGCAACTTTCAGGAGCCAGCCCTGGCTTTGTGCCCGGCGCTTAGGGCGCATCTGGGGTGATTGGGTGTTTGTTCCTGTCACCCTAAGCTCTGAGCACTACGGCTCTACGGTTTTTGTTCTTTGTGGCCTTGGTGTTCTTGGTGTTCCACTCGTTGGTATGGATGTGGTGTTATGGTATTCCGCTGCTTGCAGTGCTTGTAGTATCGGTTGCCTTTCCGTTGTTGCTCGCATGGCTCTTGCTGCTTTCATGGCTCTTTTGGATTCGGTTGCTCCAACTCCTCAAGTCTGGGTTCGAAGTTCTTTGCAGTGCAGAGGCCGGACATGCGGCTGAGCGACGAGCCCGATGCCAGGGTCCCGGACGCGTGGCAGAGGTTCGGGGGGGATGTTGAAGCTTTGAGGCTTGAGACATCTTGAGACCTTTTGCAGTGTCAAGTGTCAAAAAGCGTTTTCTCGCTTCATCTCTGAGGCTGCAGCAAAGTCTGCAGGCAGCGATTCCAGTGAGAGCAAGGCGAGGGGGGTATTGCTGCTGTGTTACCCAACATGTTTGGTCGCTGGTATTTGTCTTTGACGGATCTCTGCAATTGGCCTGAGGCGGATGCCACAGAAGGTGCTGCGCCAAGACGGTACTCCTTCCGTGCATCTACTGCCTTCTCTCGCAGGTGGCCTGAATCGTGAAAGGGGAGGTGGAGTTGCGCCTATCATGCCAACTAGTGGCCTCCAACTCAGTCAGTGGGCAAAGTCACTTTCGGGCAAGGTTCAGGCTCTCAATGTTTGGAGAACTGTCTTTCTGAGGTCATGCCCAGATGGTGCGGCTCTGCGGACCTTGCTGCACTTTCTTCGAGGCCTGTAAAATCTGTTGCTTCAGCAGCGCCGAACATGCTGCCATGACCACGACGACTAATCTGTAAAACATTTGAAAGAGTCAAAACGTGAGAAAAATGCATCAAACCAGTAACATTTAACCTGATGAAATCGATGGTAGACTTTAGAAACTTAGAACGATTACGTTTACATTGCTTTCAATGTCAAACCTGAAAATGGTATATTGAATTAGATGGAGTTGTTACTGGATCGTCCGCTCGTCAACACATCCGGCAGTCATAGAAGAAGTTGTCGCAGCACCATCACGTAGCAATTACAGGAACAGTGATACACGCATTGAGCTCATGCTGATGCTGCCCTCAGGCTGGCGTTGGAGAGACCTATTCCATGCAGAGGAAGACCTCTGTCGGTGGTCCTGGCATGCGTAGCTGGCACCGGCTCAGCCGAGATGGACCAATCTGTGCCAGGTGCCACCATGCTGTGATAAGTTCGACGAACTGTGGCCGTCTGTCAGGACTTAGTTCGTGGCTCAGCAGCGAATTAAAATCTATGGGGACGATGTGCCGTCGAACACCTGGTGTAGCCGGGGCATGCTCAGAGTGGTATTCTGATCGTCTGCTTGCTTCACGTCTTGTCGGTGGGTTTTACTGAAAGCCTTCTTGAGGACTTTGGAAACTGAGCAAAGTCCGCAGCAACGGTTCCGACCAGTGTAGAAGTTTCACGTTCCAGGGAGTTGAGCGTACGGCGAAGGCGAGTGCCACCGCCGGAAATCTGATCGCTCCAAAGTGGTGCGCCAGTTCTGTGCAAAAAGCCAATTTGCAAATCAGGTGGCAGACCGGCTTAGGGGTCGTGCTTCGTGGCAGATGTCAGCGCAAAATGATCTCGGCATGTGGCTGCACGGTATCTCAAGCACTCGCCCCATAGTTGAGTCAAGCCAGCCGGGGCCTCACACGCCTCAGGAGACCGGCGTTCTACCAGAAGCCCTCAATACCTGCACAAATCCTCAACCTTTCAGACTACAAATCCGGAGACGATGATGCCAGCTGCGAGGCCCAGCATGGCCGAGGCGGAGGAGACCCCGGACGCTGGCGTCTGCCACCGAGAGCATGCTGCTGGATTTAGAGTTCACAGTAGGATTCCAAGGGGCTCACGAAGGCACGCCCTTTGTGATAGAAGCGGCCTTATCCCTGTAGTCCCAGGGGAGTGCTGCAGAGGCTGTAGAGTAGCGTAGCACGTTGTCACTGGGCTGGGTGCCGGTGCCCGGCGCATACGGGCGCCGCTTCCACTCGACCGACTAGATGCGACGAGCACAAAGCGGTTATGCTAATGCTGCCACCACCACCACCACGATACCACCACCACGGCGATACCGCTACTGCTACTACTGCAAACACTGCTTCTTCTCGCCTGCCACCTCGTCCATCGCTTCTGCTGCTGCTTCCGCTGCGACGACGACGACGAGATCATGATCCGCTACTACTGTACTAGCCAGAACCACATCGTCATTATCGTAAAACACTGTTGTTAGTGCTTCTGGCTACTATTGATCGCGGTTCCGAGTAAGAGAATTCTTCAATCGTTGATCATCATGATGACTATTGTGGCTTTGGACGGTGGTGCTGGTGGTGGTGGTGGTGGTGTCAGCCCCGGTGGTGGAGATGGTCGTGGTTTCATCGTCGTAAGTGCCTACCCATAGAACTTTCAACCGCACGGAGATGCTGTCAGCATTTCCGCTCAGTATCATTGCTATGATGTGATTATGGCTGTTATTACCACCATTTTGCCATAGTTATTGTCTCTGCTTTGTGTTAAAGCACGTTTTGATCTAGCGCGTTTTTAGTTGCTATGGTTGCATGATTCAGGTTGTCGCGTTGGTGCTTGGTGTGAATCAGTCGAAAGCCTTGACATGAAGTGCCCGCTTTGGACACGAGGCACCTGACGCTGCGGTGGAGGAAGCCCCGCCCGTCAGCGAGACCCCGGCTCCCCAGGTTCGGATCTGACTGCCATCGTCCCAGTTCGCAGTTTTCTCGGACTGCCAGGAGGCCGAAAAGAAAAAGAAAAAGAAGAAAAAGGCATTCTTCCGTCTTGGCCTGCCTCCTGCCTCCTGCCTTCGCCGCTTGTGCAGGTGAAGGAAGTCAAGTCCGTTTTCGAGTCAACGCCAGCACAATCATCTGCTGAATTTTCCGCAGCGAGAGCGGTCCTCCCTCCTGTGCTGTGGGAGCTCGTTGCTGTGGGGCTGACGAGGTTTAGAGCCTACGAGTTAGGGTGTGGTGGTTCAGGGAGGCCTTCCTTGCATCAGGAGTTAGTAACATTTATTCAAAGACGGTTAATTCCATCCACGACTGAGACTGCACTTCACTGCCTGTCCAAGCTTTGGCTTATCAAACTCCAGGGTAGACATGTTCCGCTTGGCAGCCATTCAAGACAGGTTGAGCTCTACCCTACATGTTGGAGCACATATCAATCTTCGTCCGACGTAGAAGAATCCAACTTCACTGCCATGGATTCGGACGACTCATCCGATGATGAATACTGGGGGTCTTACACACGGACTCCGCAGGACCGCGTACCTGGATGAGGGTTTGGGGTTTAGGGTTAGGTTTCAGGGCCTTTAGAGTTCAGGGATTGTAGGGTTAGGGACTTAGCGTTAGTTTTTTGGTTTGGGGTAACTGTCATTGTCATCAGAGTCTTGGGAGTCTCGGCGAGGAGAACTTCAGTATTCCGTCTTTGCAACAAGCTCGCCCGAAGCTTAGAAAGCTTGTGCTGGAGCTCGCCATCACGATCTTTGGGGGCATGGCTTGTCGTTTGACGGTACATGTCAAGGAGGATGCCTGCATGCGTTGTGCTGGCTATGTCGTAGAGGTATCCAGCAGTGGCCGCCGGATGATCGACAAGAGTCTAACAGCTTTGGCGAAGTTGCCCAGTCACTGGACAAGCAAGTTTCTGGCGGCAGTTCACTGTCGACGACTTGTTCACAGGCCAGGACGGCTTGGACGCTGCAGGGAGTACATGAAACGAAGGATGTCAGCTGCAGGATGCAACGGAGATGCAGGCGGATGCCATTGTTTCAGCCAACAGCTTGGCTTCTCGGAAACCTGGTAAGCCGTCCCTCGCGCATGGACTCAAGCCGTCAGATTGCCAGGTCGACAATCAGACGTTCAAATTGCATAACCTGCTCGGGTTTGGGAGTTTTGGCTCGGTCATCCGGGCTCATTAGCGTGACAGGGCTGTTAGCACTTCTTGAGCATCCTTTGCCATGACAGGTTTGGTTGGCAAGCTGCATTACATCCGGAAGGATCGCTGCGTTGAAGGACGCGACTCACTTCTGAAAATGGCTTCGCCCCCCCCCCCCCCCCACGCAGCGTGCCTGGTTAAGGCCAGCCCGGCCAGTCTTGGATTTACTTGATGCTGATCTCGCAGGAAGTGCAGAGCTCTTCCAAAGAAGGCATGGAGGCACCCCTTATAAGGGCTTCTTTTGGGGATACGTTACTACGTTCTCCTGCCGAAGAGGGAGCAAAGAAAGCTGGCAGTCTGGCAGGCCGCAGTGCTGGAGGCAAAGCGCCTTCGTAGTCTTCGCGATTTAATACAGGACAGGACTTATCTGTAAAGAGCTACTAGGGCTACTAGGGCATCTACCAGGGACGGATCCCTAAAGATCTCAGGGCACCGGAGCTGTGCTAGATTGGCGCTCGGGAAGGACGATAGAGCTTGTGCAGCTCTTCCCTGCTTGCTGTGCGCCGGGTTCCTAGCGACCTGAAGCCTGCAACACTTTCAAGTTGGTGGAGTTCCCCCAGCGCCTTTTGCAAGGCTGGAACATCTCTCACCAGTACAGGCTACCGTACGCTCCTGGCGATGGAGCACATACCAGGCAGAAGATGTGGGGTTGTCCTTGGGCATGCTGTTCATAACGCAGTTCTAAAACGTCTCGGAACAGTCTGTGATGCAGAGATCTGCACTCGTCGCTTTTATTTGGGACCTGAGCCGCATTCGACCTTTGCCGATGGTACTCGCTGCCAGGTACACCTCTTCAGCAGGCCCTAGAGGCGAGCAGTTGAGTGCAATCTCTTGGACTCTGTTCTCCAGTTGCTGCAGTCAGGCTGGCCAGCTGTGTGCACACAAACTGCACCCCATGGTGCAGGTCGCGTGCACAGACATTGGGTAGTGGCTAGTCTGACACATCTGAGCACCCTACCCTCATAGCGCAAAGTGGGATCCTGTGGTAGGCATTCAAAGTGGCTGAGCGGATGCGACTTGGACAAACGGTGTGTGCTGCTTTTGAAGCCGATCAAGAGCCGAGAACTGAGGCTAAGTCAGATCTCTGCTGCCATGTACCACGTGAGCAAACGCTTCTTCCATCGCGACGTCAACTCCCACAACATCCTCGTCCAGGCCTGGGGGCCAGGGCAGCTCGACACATCTTCCGAGTCTTCGCAGATCTTCGCAGGTTTGTACCGGGCAGCTCAGCTTCGGCTTGATCGACTTCGGCTTGGCCCCGCACTCGCCGAGCACTCGCTGCCCTCGCGCGGGGAAGGTCAGTGCCTGCAGAGGCCGTGGACTCCGAAACCTGGAGTGCCGGCGCCTGGCGTGCTGTCGGGGCGGCTGGCGAGCTTCGGCCTGCGAGAGATGGGATCATGCCTCTCAGTCCAAGTGTCTTGTTGCAATTTCACCACTAAAGTGAGGATGGACGTTACTGGACGGTGTCTTCTTGGCTGCTCTTCTCACGGGGAGCAAGCGCTTTAGCCGCCGACCAGGATCGACTTCGCCATGCTTGTGCTCGTCTGGTAATTGCATATGTTTCCACGATCCATGCGAGGACTTGCAGTCAGAGTATGCTTCCATGATTGATCTGCACTCCGTGGGCCGTGACCTCAAGCCAAGCAGCACCGAGCCTTTATTGCAGCTTGTTCTCAGAATGCGTCGCATGAGCGTCACTGCAGGTCTGAGCGTTCTGCAGACCCTGGTGGTTCTCGCAGAGGTGCATGCCGTGGCACCCAGTCCAGGAGCAAAATCTTCATCGAGTGATTCAGGAGAGCTCTGCGGTTTCGACGACTTGCAAGGAAGAGGCCACCCGCGGACTTACTGCAGTACGGCTTCTCCGCGCCCCGCTCGCCTGTCAATGCGGCAAGTTCATGACAGGCTTCGGTTTTCTTAGCAATGGAGCACCTCGCAGAGGTCTGGTAGCCCTCTCAGTGGAAGTCAAATAGCGGTGCAGGGACAGCAAAGGCCAGCATCGCCTCACATCCGAGGAAGCAGTACTGGCACCATGCATCGTCCTTCTGGCAACGAGTACTTGATGCCTTCAACAGTGCAGCCACCTCAGGTCATGTTGCTTGTTTGTTTTTGGTGAGACGTATGCCTCGGCAAGGATGCGCGCAGCGAAATCAAGATGAAGCTTGCAGAGGACGGCGAGCGCTACTGATGGGATTCTAGGTCTCCAGCTCTGGCCTCGCAGGAGATGGTCCATGAGAGCTTCGGCACCTACTTCCATCAGCTGAGAGCAGCTCTTGAGAAGGCAGCGAAGCGCAGCGAAGCCAAGCTCAGTGCTGCCGTTACCGCCGCTTCCAAAATACTGGCGTTGATGTCTGTTCTAGTCACCCGGGTCGAAACACTGGCTGTAGCAGCAAGAGCAACAGACACAACAAGATAGCAGCCTGCGGAAGGTGCATGCTTCTCTTCGGGACCTTGGTGATGGCACGGGCTGGGTGCCTGAGAGGGTCGAAGGGTAGCGCCAGAGATGCGACTGGTAAAGTTCGCTGATCTCCAAGTCATGCTTGGAGCAAACCCAGGGGCTTTAACAGCCTCCACATATTCTCCTACTGCTTGCAGATAGTCTGGCCAGCACTCAGGTGGCAGCTTTCTGCTTGTCAATGCGAATCTAGCTCGCAGCATCATCGAGGCCGCCATGGCCCTCGGAAGTCACAGCTTGGGGTTGGAGTGATGTACTGGGAGGCACTGCTCATCATGATCAGCACTGGCAGGTGCAGACAGCTTGCGAGGAGAGCCCAAGCACTTTGTCGCATAGGATTATCCCCCGTGAGGCCTTGGAGAGGCCAAGCAGGTTGGCAAGAGGCCCTTTGGCAGCCTCCCACACTCCTGCTGTTGCCTGCTTGTTGAAGCTGTCGTTGAAACCAAGAAAGTCATGAATTTCTTTTCTCCGAGGTGAGGCAGCTCTTTTCCAAGGAGCCGGCATCAGGCGGGTGGTCCTTGCATCGGGCACGGGTGTCCTGGAGGAGCAGATGGGGATGCAGTGCGACACCTCCGTTTGAACCAGGCCGCCAAAGTCGTCCGGCCATTCCTAAAGCCACTGGTGGTGCTAGGAACTAGTATTAGTAGCCTTTATGCTGCCTGTTTACCTTGCGCAGGTACCGCACATGCCGGCAGAGTTCACACTCTTTGTCGAAGCATCCAAGTCCATGCAGAGGATTGATGTCCTCGTTGCTGGTCCGTTTGTCGTGAATAGCAAAAGCAGCACCTGCTGCTGTGTGGCATGAATACACGTCACCATCCTGTCGGTGTCGAGTTGAGTAGTTACAGGCAAAGCATATCCAGCTCTTTGAGACTAAGAGCTTGGAAAGCATTATGAGGTTCGCAACGAATCTCTGTTCCATCTTTCACGGCATGTCTGAGCGGTTTCGGTGTCGCATGCCCAGGCATTCAGCAACAAAAAGCTAGAGCAATGTCAGAGACAGCAGAAGCAGCTGGAGGGTGGCTTGCGATGAGCTCTGGGCTTGCGGCGTAAGTTCTTGTCATGCCCATGTTTCTAAGTGCAAGTGTGCAATTTTGGAAGCACCCGCCAGCTTGTGTACAGTCACAGGGTGTGCGTGCTCGGTACAGCATGATACAGCCAGCGCATGTCGCAGCATTGCTTTCGCAGCCGGCTCTTGTTTGGAGCATGATTTCAAGAGCCACGTGAGCCAAGTGGACAGCTTGGATGGCCTCAGACTCGACCCAGGAAGCCTCAGAAAGTGTGACCGGTGCCCGCGTTCGACGACTGAAGTGCTGTGTGCATCTTTTTGCTGCCGCTTGAATGGAATCGGCGTCAGGCAGCCAACGATTCGCCAGCACAGTCGACGTTTGAGAGTCAGCCAAGAGCTAGCGCCGCTGATTGTCCCAGTGGCGCGGCCGTGTGCGAAGCTTAGAGCCTTGCGAAGGAGTGGAGTGTAGAGTGTAGAGATGTGTAGACGAGACCTCTCACTCACCTCCCAGGGAGCAGGTTCAGCAGGAGTCTGTCTTCGAGAGCAAGCCGCAACAGAGCAAGGCCGGCTGATGATGACTCATGTTTCCTCTTCAGGCAGCCCTTTGTGTCAGAGCATATAGAGTCTAGACTATATAGTGTAGTAGATATCAGTAGCATTTTATAGCTTGTAGTTAAGTATAGTATAGCATCATGTCGTATAGCATAGCAGAGTACAGTATATAACAGAGTGTATACTGCATAGGAATGTAGTTTCACCCCCTTTCCCAAAAGTAAGCCTTGTATCCCCATTCCCACCAGAAAGCCTTGTATGGAGCAACGAGAACGGGTTTACATGGGCTTGCAGTTCTGCTTTATTCGAAGTGTGGTATGCGCACGCTTGCCGGTAATTGCCGTTGCGGCTGAGAGAAGCTGTTGAAGTAACAAGTCCCACCTGAGCTGCTCGGCACGCAAATGGCTAGAACTTGCTACCAGCGTTTGGATGCAGCCTTTGACGGCGGGCTTACTGCCTATGCTGAGGACATGGAGCTGGGCCCAGGCACAGCAATGACGGCAATGCCCCTGCGCACTCGAAGGCCGAGCAAACACCGTCGGTCAGCACCTTTAAAGCGTATTCCCCTACTTGACAGGCTTGCGCTGCCGGGGAAGCGAAGGCTTGTCTTTTGTCCGCAGCCAGACGCCAGCCGTAGGAGGCCTTGGTGGGCCCCCGGGATGATTTGAGCTTCCTGATATGTGGCACAAGGCTTTCTGTTCTGGAAACTAACTTGTGGGAGCAAGCAATGGGCCCGCGTCACAGATGTGCTTCCCTGAACCCCTCCACGCTTTTCTACTACGCACCGCTGCGAGTAGCACCCGGTGAGGCCCATCTAACGGTCTGGCTGATCCCAAAGTTGCCAGGTCCTTCTCAGTTCGTGTCCCTTGGAAGGGGGCATTGTCGTCACACGCACACCACCTGACGAAGCTGTCTAGATTGTGGCGAGCTTCCGAAACCCGGCGATCGAGGTTCTATCTGCAGTGGCGGCCGTAATGGCAGTGGCAACTCTAAGTGGCCTGAGGCCTCGCGCATAGCGTTGTCTCTCATGCACAATTGGAAAGTAGGGTTATGTCCTAAACCCTAAACCCTAAACCTGAACCCTAAACCCTTAAACTCTAAACCCTAAACCCCAAACCCCTGAACCCCTAAACCCTAAGCCCTGGAAGGTTGCCAGAGGCCGCAGCGCAGCCGGGCAAGTTTGCCCTGCGAGTCTGTGAGAAGTGCGTTGCCGCCTCGGCGGCTTCGGTCGGGTGCATCATGGGAGTTTCCGAAAATGAAGGGTTCCTTAGGGTTCCTTTAAAGGTTACTATAAGGGCTCCTTAAAGGGATCTATAGGAGTTCTATAAAGGGTTCAGGGTTTAGAGTTTCCGAAAATTAGGGATACCTTATTTAGGGGTCCTTATAATAAGGATCCTACTATTTAGGGTACTATATTAGGGCCCCCTATTTTCGGAAACTCCCTCATGGTGCATCCTTGAATTTCAGAGAGGGTTGGCCCCGAGACACGCGCATGCAACGCTGTCGAGGTCAGCCGGAAGGCGGGTAGCGGCTACAATCCAAAGTTCGTCTTAGATCAAACATCGAAAGCTGCAGCGGCAGTTGGCGCCTGAGTCTTTTGCGTTCCGTTTTTGCATGATCTCGTTTGTTGAAGTTCAAGCACCAAGCACCGAGGCAGGTTGGCCAGCCCCGGGAATAGAGTGGGGCAAATGTTGGGTGCCAAGATATTCATTTCCTGCTTCTCAGTGACAAGGGTTGTTGTGCATGCACCGCAGGCACGGGGGGATGCGACTATGGACCCACAGTGAGACTGGTGAAAGGAGAGTACGTCGGGGTCTCGTTACATGAGTCGTAATTCTACAAGTGAGAAGCAGATGCAGACAAGGCCATCCCGGTAGTCGTCCGGTCCTGAGATGCCTTCGCCATCGCCATCAGCGGCCCGGCCAGACCTTCGCGCTTCGCAGGTTGAGGGAATGTCCGAAGACGAAGTCGACTTCAAGGCCGAAGTCCCGGGAAGCGTTTCCCGCTACGCCCGAGCGCAGCAGCGTAGCAGTGGCGGCTTGAGGCCTTTCTGGAAATCGAGGGCGAATCGGATGCTGAGAGGGCCTTCGGCCTTGCCAGCCGCCACATTGCCATGCAAGCAGGGAGCCCAGCTGGAGGCTTGTTGTGGGATGAGTAGACGTGCTTGAGTTTCAGGCACAGAGCGCCGACTCCGACGAGCCGGCACCAGAAGTGCCTGCCTAGAGGCTGGAAGTACAATCATCTGCGCGGCGCTGCGCGTGATATGTCCATGTAGGACATGCTGGCTCTGGAGTGACGCGCACATGAACCTTTCCAGCTAAATACTTTTCAGGCACTACTGCCTCCCTTTTCGACGCTTGTGCACATGCAAGCGTCTTTGTAGCGACGAAGCAGTCGAAGGCTGCTTCGTGGCGACCCCGGAAGAGTCTCACAATCCGTGCCGCGCTTTCAAGTGCTCGCGGCATTTTCAAGCCGGGACCAGCTCCACTTCCTCAAGAGATGATAAGTTCTGCCAAAGGGATCTCTCCAGAATCTCTCCATTCCTCGTGGATCACACTTCTCCAGGCTGACACAAACTATGGATCCAAGTCTTCAGGGACGGAGGCACAAGGGCAGGGTGACCAGACCATCTGAAACCGGTCTTTTCTCTGCCCATGCCTTGACGAGGCAGCGCAGTCCGTCTTCGAGTCGCAGCCGAAGCAAAGCTCTGCAGAGGTGCCACTTGAAAGCCTCGGAAGCCTTCAAGGGCCTAAGGGTGTTTCGACTCTACGGCTTTCTGTAAGGCTAGGCTATAGGGTTTCTGTTGCGCAGGTAAGCCATGCTTCAGCTGCCGCGCCAGCAGATGCTGCGCAGTCAACCTTCGAAAGCCAGCCAGCGCAGTGAACCCCCCAGCTCACAGGCCTAGGAAGAAAGGCCTCTACCAGTCGCCCTTGTTCAAAGGTCCAAAGCAGATACCGCGTATGCGGCTTCTGCTGCAAGCGCATCAGAGCCGTGGGGAGCTGAATCCTGCAGAGTTCATCGCAGTTTGTCAGGGCGGGGAAAGGGGGGCAGAGCGGGATGCACCAAGAACCAAGGTCCGCTTTCGAAAGCAATCCGCAGCAATCGAAGGCCTCGGCTCGGTAATGGGATCTCACAGATCCCCTCATCTTCCTTCGAAGGCTGCTGTGGGCTATGGTCGAGCGGATGCGCCAAGTGCCGGTGAGGCTCCGGCTGGGGGCACCATTTCGCACAGATCTTCAACCTTGCTCTATGGTCAGGTGCAGTCGGTTTTCGAGAGTCAGCCGCAGAAGAGCAAAGCCATGGTGACGGCCGCCGACAAGGACTGTATGACTGCCGAAACAGGAGTTGCGTTATTGCTACTGGTATGATTCGTATTGATAGGAGTTAAGATCCCTTTAGTATTTCGTACCTGTACTATTTGTAACATCAGTATTGTCAGTATTACTGCGATGTAAAGTGTACAACCCGCATTCATTGAGGCGCCTCCGGCTGCTGGGGACGGCCAATCTGTCTTCGAAAGCAAGCCTGCGGAAAGGCCCGTGTGTTGCTGTGCTGGCGCCATTTTGTGAGCTGATTTGTCCGGCCAGTAAAGCAGAGACATCCTACTCCAAAGCTGCCTCCGCCGCGGATCAGTCACAGTCGGCTCTCGCCACAGCTTGACGGGGTTCGGCCATGACAATCAAAGTGGACCCGACTGGCGCGATTCTGGCTTCAGGTGTTCGAGAGTCAACCGAAGCAGTCCTCTGCTATGGCCAGGAACTCACGGTTGCAGTAGACACAGGTTTCCGCTCAACAAAGCTGAGCAGGTGAGCCACAATGACAAGACCTCCGCGCAGGGAGCGGACCAGTCTGTCTTTGAGAGCCAGCCGGCACAGAGCAAGGTCTCTTGGCAGCTGTGGAGGGCCGTGACGGGCTTTGGCTTGCGAGAGTGAGAGTAGAACAGCAGCTCTCAGGCTGAAATCGGATACGGCCGAAATGCTGCTGCCTCTGACCAGGCTCCAGTCCAGTGTGCTCAGAAGGTACTGCCTGAGCCCGCAACCCCAAATAAACCCTAAGTCGGAGCCCACACGGAGCCCACACAAAGCGCACCCCAACCGCAATGATCTTCTTGTCTGCAGGAGCAGTCCGTCTTCGAGAGCAAGCCTGCCGAGAGCAAGGCCGCAGCCGTGCACGCAGAACCGGTCAAGTTCCGGAACAGGAATACATAGAACAAAAATTGTAGCATCCCTACTACTACTACGACCGACGACGACGATTTCTGCTAACAACAGCAAGAATACTACTGCTGCTACTACTACTACTACTGCTGCTGCTACTACTACTACTACTACTACTAGTACTACTACTACTAGTACTACTACTACTGCTACTACTACTACTACTACTACTACTACTACGACGACTACTACGACGACTACTACGACGACTACTACGACTACTACTACTACTACTACTACTACTACTACTACGACTACTACTACGACTGCTGCTGCTGCTGCAGCAACAACAACTACTACTACAACTACAAATCATGATAAACAGGACAATAACAGCACTAATCATAAGACTATTAACCATATTAATAATATCTATTCTGGTAGTAAGTAACCCTGTCAGAAACAGTAACAGTAACAACGGTTCTAATAATGATAGCCGATAGCACTACCATCATAATAATAATGTTAACAACAACAGTGATCATGGTAATACAGGAACTATTATTTGGAGGAAGAATCGGAATAAACAAGCGATGCGAATGATAGTAATAATGGTGAGCTGTGTTTTGGACGCAGGCTCATTACAAGGCCGGTGCTGCCGTCGATGAGGAGGAGTCGGAGTACGAAACGGATGAAGAAGGCCGATGATTGAGAACTAGTTCTGCAGAGCTCGGCTCCATGCCGCTGCTCTTGGAGGATGAGACGTACGCAGTGGTTGAGCCAGGCAGTGAACTTAGATTCTGGAATCCCAGGCAAGCTTCAGAGTGAACTGTCCCTTTTTCTCGCAGAGGTGGGGCTGCAATGAGAGCACAGCTGTGCGATGCCGCTCAGAACCTGGCCAAAAGAACAAAAATTGTAGGCGAAAACTTCTGCTGTTCTAACAGCGGAGCGGTCTCGCATTCTGCACCTTAGCCGGATGGCCAGCCCAAAACTTCACCCAAAAGTTTTATGGTTCAGACCCAGAAGTTCCAGATTGCCTTAAGCCCCCACACAAAACTTGCCCCCCTGGCTTGCTGACTGGATTTTGGGCCTGACCCCGGCATCTGGCGGTTCTGCGCAATTCTGCGCAACTGCACGAACATGACTTGATGGCTTTTCCACACGTATCAAAGTCTCTGATCCAACGTAACATTAGACTAAGGCGCTGGGATGGTGTGCACTTCTCCCTTCGCGGCTGTTGTTCACTGAGTTTAATGCTGTCCTCTTATGTCCCACAGAGGTGTGGGAACTTGAGGAAACGTAATTTTGCAAGCTCTTTCAACCACTCGATTGAACGCACGCCTGAGCAATTGACAGGGGCTTTGATGCGAGAATAGACCCATGAGTGCTGTGCTTCAAGCCTCAAGCCCCTGTCAGCGCTGGCAGAGACATAGACATAGCGCGCACAGCGGCCAACCGTGGGAAAACACAAGAACGAGCGCGAAAGGCTCGTGGCTCGTGGCTCTCGGGGTTCGTCGTGGATGCTTTCCGCACGAGCGATGCGTGCAGCTTCTGGGTTCAAGCTTAGCTGCCTGTGGAATGCGGCAATGGCATCCCAGGCGACCATTTTTCTGATGTGACCGTGCTCCCGACTTGTAGGAAATGCCATTTCGCTTGTCAGTGACTGTTAAAGGGCACTGGCTCTGTCAGGCTCGCTTGAGGAAGGGCAAAGGTCCAAAGAGCCCACCAGAAATTGATGTAGACCTGCCGGCGGAGACCTCAGTGCTGGTGCAGGCCTGTGGTCTCTTTGACTGCTGCACTCGGAGATCTGTCGAGGAATCAGCTGCAGTGGCAAGAATAGCAGCAGGGCTGCCCACTCCCAGGCGCCAGCCCACTTGGGGGAGCTTCTGCGGTGCTTGTGACAATGCGGAACATTCCGACAGGTCGACATTGGGATCGCCGCTGATATCACATGCCACATACAAGAGGCCTCCCCTTGGTTTTTGCTGCATCTGAGACTGAGACTGAGCTCGACTCCAACACCCCGTTTCGGCCTTGAGACTTTCTCCGAGCGAGCAAGAACCGAAGAGGTGAGGAGAAGACGACCAGGGGTGCGGTGAATAATGTGACGACTCGAAGTAGCAATTGCTTCCAGGAAAGATGGCCGCAGGTGTCGGGGTGGTGAAGCGGAGCTTTCTCGTAACTCATGGCTGATCGAAGGGACACTTAATGCCGTTTAACTTGCGCTGACAATGGAACAGGCGAGGTCTGAACCGCTTGAGAACCTTTTTTTGCAGCGGTGTCTGGGGGCTGCCCATTGTTTTGCAATGGCAGCGACAGCGAGGGAAACGATGTGTGACACCATCGCTTCAGTTGTTGATCGAACTGTTGCACGGCCTAGCTCCGACCGTGATTGCATCACAGGTCGGGCGTGGGGGATCTTGCGGCTGGTCCACGAAGGCACATTTCTTTGTCCCAGGCGCGCGCGCTGTTCGAATCCTTCCTGAAGGGGACCTCTGGTAAGTTCCGGCCTTGCCAGGTGGAACTGGGGTCATGGCTCTGCTGTATGGCTCCCGTGTTCATCTTGTTCTCCACATATGGGTCAGTTGGACACTCAACATTCAGCATTGTCCTACGGCCCATCTCTGCACTGCTGCTTTCGAGGTTCTGCTGTCCACTCTGTTCTGGACATACCTTGCAGAGCTGATTTGCGCATGCTTGACCCTTGTCACCTCGCTCTGGATCGGCAATCTATCCATTGCCACCTTGCGGGGAATCCACCAATTGAGAGAGGCCCGGCCCCAAGTCAGAGCCGCAGTGCAGGAGCAGGAGAGTCAGGGAGAGCGGAAGTGGATGCGGGAGGCCAGCAGCATCGACTGGCATGAACGTTTGCGTCAGATCCCGGAGGAGGACTGCCGCTTATAACCTGGGAAGGAGTTCTGAGGCCGTTGCGAGTTCTGGGCCGTTGCGTGCAGGAAAGGAGCGGCGTGAAGCACATCATTCTGTTGCCAAACTATATGGAAAGCGAAAAGATGTTGAAGGAGCCGGGTAGCGTTGCACATGCTGAGACATGCCTTTGGTGCCATTGCATCAGCCGAGGAGACACTCGACTACCTTGCCCGCTCAAAGTTAGCGAAGAACTGTTTGCATGTTGTTTTGGGCATGGAGGCCGCTGGAGACATGACACCGTTTTTCTGCGTGCTTGCCCCTACAGCCCTAGGCCCCCATCCGAAAAGAGTGTTGCTCAAAGAATCTTCCGACAGGGCCGCGAAGGTCAACCGGCCCGTGCCAAAGCGGAGAGGATCATTGCTGAGAAGGAGAGCAGCTCAGAAGCTCCACCGCTTGTTGCACGTCGGAATCTGCCTAAGAGCTCCCTTACATGTGCCAGAAGCACCTTTTCGCCGACATCTTTGCGACCTACCACCCGCAGGCTCGTGGAAGAAAAGGGCATGCTCCTTCAATCATCGGCAGGGGGCTGGATCGGTTTGCTGCCCCAAAGAGTAACCCGGGGAGTCGAGACCCGACAGTGCCACTTAGGCTGCGAAAGCTTTGCTTTGCTTCCGGGTATCCTTGCCACCATACGTCCCGCTGAGCTCGCAAACTCTGCCAAACATACCTCGAACAAACGTCAAGCTTCGCGAGTGAAGAGTGATCAGCATTTGTTTTATGGTCCACAGGCTATGCAAACGCGCTGAAGAGTGCATGAAAGTGCCGGGCAGGGTCTTCCTGGAGAAGTTGCTGGCAAGTCTTCCAACACGCAGTGGGCTTTCCGTGAGGCCAACGTGGGTGAATAGGGCCTTTTCACGGCAGCACTTGGTGTACGCCTCGATGTCAAAGGCACTGCGTAGATACGGGGCATCGCTGTCCAAGCGAGACCTGCAGGAAGCCAAGCTATTTCCACACGTTGTTTGATAGCGGCTCGAAACTTCCAAAGCCTTGCGCAGTCTTAGGTCGAAAGTCTTCCTCACTGTTGCTGATGCTGACACACTGTGCTTGGCTTAATCAAACCCAGAGCTTAGAAGGAGTCCGAGGATGCACACCCGTGCCCAGGCTCCATCCGAACTACCTCAGCGCCATGACATACCAAGGTCAGCTTTTGATCAGCCCTGCTCTGGGTTGGAGTTAGTGGCAGACTCTGAGGACTCATGATGGACAAGGAGGAAAGATCCTGGGCCATCTGGCAGCCCCCTGTCATGCTGGTCAAGCCGGCTCGTTTGTTGAAGCTTAGCAGTCTCCAGACGCCAGCATTGCAATATTTCCAGCTCCGCAATCTGTTCAACGTGCCGGCCGTGACTCGGGCAACAGCCCACGGAACGTCCCTGAGCAAGCAATTGTTTCATTACTGTAGCAACTTGATGAAACAGCCATGGTCCTATGCCATAACTAGTACTGGTATAGCCCTTGTTAGCCACCCTAATCAGCACCGGGGTTGCTTAAACAGTTCCTACTTTGCTGTAGAGCTGATGTGTAAAGTGTGACAGACATGGGTCTCCCGCTTCTCGTCTCCGCAACTCAGGCTCATTTTTGAGTTGTCGGCTTTGTCATGGCAGCGCATCTTTCCTGCCTTTGCCTACTCCTCGCCGAGCTGCCATGCTTAGATGCAGAGAGTCGGAGTCAAACGGGGCAACATTTCTGACATGCGCTTGGACTTGGGCGTGCCTCTGCCAGGTATTCAATGACTCTTGCATTAGCCTCCCATCCTGAAGTGGATGGCTGGGACGTGGATGTCATTGCAGAGGACTGACGTCCGATCAAGCGCCATGGCCTCCCGTGAAAGACTTTGCCGATTCACAGGGGCCCGCCCCAAAACCTTCATCTAGGAGTAAGCCGTCAGGATCATCACATGTTCTGCAAGTGCTTCTTTGCAGCTCTCTGGGAGCTGTCGCACGCGAAGAAGGACGAAGCAGCCGTTGTTCCCGGCCGCTACTTCATCCCTGGTGCACCCGCAGGAGCATGCCAAAATCTCGAACGGCAAAGATGCAAACCCAGTTCAGATCGTCCCTCAAGTCAAGGCTTCCCCTGACAAGGGATGTAAAGCGCAGCGAAAGCTCCTGCCTGGCAGGTTCATCCCGTGTTTTTGCCAGCCCGTGGCACAGAATGAGACGGCCGAAACCTGCGAATTTCTTGCCAGTTGCACCCCCGAGGCTGTTTCATATTTGGCCGAATCGCCAGATGGTTACGTGGCGTCTCTCAAAGCCCGCTTCCAACAGGCTTGTCGGTCAGACATCTACTGGGTAACACCTGCCGTAGTTTCATTGTTGCCTTGGCTGCAGGCCAGACGGCACATGCAAGGACTGGTTGAAATCGGCTATGCGTCTTGGCTTCACGGCACAGACATATCACTCGGTCAAAGAGACCTGGTGTTGTGTTGCAGGCTGCTGTATTGCAGCGGTATTCTGTCAGAATATGCCATATGTGATGTCACCTTTCATTTTCCAGGCACTGTGAGACTTTGAGTGTGTGAGCTGGCTGAGGTCTGCTTGCAATGGGCCCGCCTGTCCATGAGTATTGGTGCCAAGAACATTCCATTGCGCACGTCTGAACCCCAGTCATAACGTGAATCCCAACATATTTCAGCAGAAATCTGATGACGCACAGCTCACACTTGAGGCACCTTCGCATCGGTATGATCTTCTTGAAGATGAACATTTTGACCATCACTTGCACATCGCAATGTTTCGCGTTGATCTTGATGGCTCTCGTGAAGCTCGTTCCGAGGACTGTGACCTGATATTTGCCTCATTTATGTCGTATTGTGCTACTCGTACAACTGTTTTTTGAT